TAATTAATGTAAGTTCTAAGAGAGCAGGGATTTTTCCCTCTTCTTCTATTTTCTTCCTTGATGAGTCCCAAACGCCAAGTCAAGTGGAGACTCCGTGACTATTTGTTGATTAACTGAAGAGGTCTGATTAGAAAAAAAACGCACCAGCCTGTTGCAGGCACTCTGGCTTTCACAAGGTTTTGACATGATCCCTCTCTCGAGTGTCCCCAGAGGGCAGAGAGGCGATGGTCCATGGAGGTCAGAGGGGTCAATAAACCCCTTGTCTGTAGGATCCCTGTCCCAGATGTACTGATCGCTTTCCATGATTGACCCACAAGAGAAACTGGTACGCTGAACAGGTCAGAGTCTCTCCACTGAGCATTTCCTATTCGGCCAAGTGTTTTTAAAAAGAAAGCAACGTGGAGAAATTATTCACATTCATGGTCTCATTCAAAGTCATAGGAGAGACCAGGCTTGTAAGAGGCGGATGGAGACAGGGAAACCTCTGAGAATGCTCTCTGAGACCCTTTCACGGCTGGAACTGCACCTCCCCGTGGGGAATCCCCTTGTGCCCCAAAGACAGGCTGGCCTACCAAGTGAATAACAACACTGAGCGCACACTAGTTCTCAAAGCAATCAACCACAAGGAGCCCAAGGGCCGCATCTACCCAAAAATAAAGCCCCCGGAGGCAGGCCGGGGCCAGAGAGAAGGGCAAACGGACAAGGGAAGGAAGGGAGTGGGAAGAGCACTCAGCCCCGCGGCCGGCCTCCGCAGCCCACTGCCCGGAGCAAACCACGGGGAAACTGCTGATGGGAAGCCAGCTGGGTCTGTCAACCTGCCCTCCGACCACCCTCAAAGCCGGGTTTAAAAAAATAAATGAAAAAAGTGTGTTTTCAAAGCACAGGGAAAGCCGGGTAAGGCCAAGTGAGACAAGTGCACGGTCCTACAGGACACAACTGCCGACAAAGCCCTCTCTCCGCTTTCCTTCTCCTGCCCTGTCTTCTCCTCCAGCTCCGTGGCAGGCATCGCCAAGTCTTCTCCACCATCAAACACTGACGTGCCAGAGTTTAGGCTGAGTCTTTTGTCCCTTCTAGCTTGAAGAGTCACTCTTGAGGTACAGGCACGCAGGCCCCCGTGGCATTCAATACCACCTGCATGCTATGGACCCCAGAAGAGCTATCTTTGCCTGTGACCTCTCCTCTTCACCCCACACCCACGCGCCCAGGGAAATCAGAAGCCGCTGCTGCACCATCAGAGTGCCTTTCCTCAAGCAACAAGATCCGAACGGGAAGCCCCTGTGTCTGCCGTCTCCTCCCTCTCAGTCTGTGCCCTTCTGAAAGCGGGGTTCCCATCTCTCTGATCTTCCCCCGATAACCAGGCACTCTTAGATTTAGAAGGACATTTTAACAAAGGGCAGCCTGGGCACTCCTGAAGAACCCCGATCGGGCTCCTTTTCCAAGTTCCTTGAGATTGAGAACCAAAGGAAGTCTACAGGGAGAAGATCGGGGCTGTAGGGCGGATACGGTCAGGTTTCCCAACACAATTCCCATAGGGCAGGCCTTGTTGCCCTCAAGGAATGAGCATCATTGTCTTGATGGAGGGAAGAAAAAAAATCCCTCAGTGCAAGTTCACTGGCCTTTCTCTCACCGGAGCTGTTTTTCCATTTTTTTTCTGAGGAAAACTCCCAAAAGGGCCCTTGTCGTCCTGTGTGGTTCAAGGAAACCTACCGAGATTGTGGTTCTGGTGATTCGGTGCCATCGAGTCGGCTCCAGCTCCCAACAACCCCAGTGGAACACAAGGGCACATGGCCAGGCCTGCACCCCCTTCCCAGCGGTTCTCAGTGTGAGCTCCTCCTCGCTGCAGCCACTGCCTCAACCCATCTTGTCAAGGGCTTCTCTCTTTGTCTCAGTCCCTCTAGTTTCCCAGGTGTGATGGCCTTCTCCAGGGGCCGGTCCCTCCTGAGAACATGCTCAAAGGACCTGAGATAGAACCTTGCCATCCTTCCCTCTAAGGAGCATTCTGGCTGTACGTCTTCCAAGATCAATCTATTAGTAGTAGTAGTATTGATATTTTGGTAGTCCACGGTACTTTCAGCATTATTTGCCAGCAACATTGCCTCCTAGGAAACCAGATGATGCCTGGCTTTCTGAAACAATAGTGCCTATCTTAAAAACTTGTCTTAAAACCAGTAGCCATCTAAGAGAGGTGACAGCTAAGCCCACACAGAAGAAGTCTCTGTGATCCAAAGACTATGACTAATAAAGTCCAAGACTGGAGGAGGGAGCAAAACCAGAGCTTAAAGTCTGAGTACCCAGTTTGCAGAAGGTTGTTGAGGACAGTGAAAGCCCCAAATCCATGTGCAGCGGCCTCACGCGGAGTAAGCCTCCAGTGAGTCCCCTCTGACCTTGACCAGGGATGTGGACAGCCTTGCTACCAGACAGAATGCATTGGAGAGTGGACGAGTGGACGGATGTAGATGCAGTCAGGTTAAAATTTAACCCCTTATCATCTGTTCTCCCTTCTGGCCCACTGTAAATTGGCTCTGGTTTTTATAATTTTGTTACCTTTTCAAATGAGATCTTTCTCTTATTTTGCTATTTTATATGCTTTTCTTTATATGAAATCCAGGATGGGTAAATCTATAGAGACAGTAACTAGAGTAATAGTCCCTGGGGTTACGGCAGGGGGGGCTGAGAAGAAATGGGGAGCCAATAATAATGAGTACAAGGAAGATAAAAATGGTCGAACGTGGACGGTGGTGGTGATTGCACAGCTCTTTCTAACATGGCATTGTATGATATGTGGATTTTATGTCAATAAAACATTACAAGTTGGGGTTTTTTTAGTTTTGTTTTTTTAAAGATGGCCCCTTGGGAGTCCCAAAACGCAGTCCCTGTGACCCTCGGCATTGACCTTGAGTGGGAGTCGCCCAGCGGAGACATATCCCAAGGTGTATTGCAAGGAACTGGAACCCCAGCATAGCAATCCTTTTTGAACTTCCCTTCAATACATCTCCTTCCCAAAGAGCTCCCTTTGAAGGCTGACCACTCAAATAAATGTAGGCCGTCTAACATGAACTTACTGATCTCCCAAGACCTGACGCTTCTCCAGGGCACCTCTAAGGACCCTGGAGAAGCTGTGAGCTCCCTCAGAGCAAAGGAATCTCAAGACACCCGAGGCTCAAGATGGGGAGGTTCTACCCCAAGCTCCAACCTGGCTGAGCAGTGAGGGCTTCCTTCCTTCCTCCAGGGATGGGCGGCTCTTCCATAAGCATCGTTCCACCAACGGTGCACTTGCTTATATGTCAGGATGGTGAGCTAGCTCATGCACCACACCGTGTCAGCTACAACGTCAACTGACCGTGTTCAATAGCTAATCGACCTTTAAACATACCTTTATCCTACAGTGGAATATTGTGCATCCAGCAAAACAAACTCTCTTAAACACTGCAAGACATGGATAAAACTGGAGAACATTATGCTTAACCAACTTAATCAATCTTGCACTGAAAAAAGTTCATAGCACCAGTATTTCAAGGAAAAGCAAAGAAAAAGAAACGTGGTTTATACTTCGCAGACGAAACTGCGATGACTACCAAGAGGCCAAGGACAGAGGTGGGAGCAGGGAAAGGGGAGTAATTGAGGAGGGAGGGAGGAAGACAGGATGGGGTGGGGTGAAAGAAGAGAACCTCATTTACGGAGGGTTTAACAGGATATTATTGAGAGAGACGGTGTACAGTGTGCTTCTTGAAAATCCCAAATAAATTTTAAAGCCTCTTCCCATTCCTTGGCCCTCAGACCTAAATCTCAGTCTGCATGGCTTAGAAAAAAAGGAGGGAAAGTACAACGGAAATGGACTCTGAGTGTTTAGTGACAAGCAGGTCCATTAAAAAAGAAGAATGTCTTTATCTGCACACAGGACGCATGGTTAAGATACATTTTCCTTTGTAGTGAATTTTAATTTTACAGTATTAAACAGCAAGCTACATGCTTCCCATTCTCTTTTAAAAAAAAATTTAAGAACTGTTTTTGTTGTTAGTACACACAGCAAGACACACACCAACTCGACAGTGACCCCAGGGAGAGGTCAGTGACCCTGCTGACGTTCTCTGAGCTGGGTGGCCAAACTCACCCTCCTGCTCTGAGCTGACCCCTTCCCACGAATCTCAGGCCCATCGAAGCTCCCCTTTAACCTTTCCCATGGCTGCTGTCAGTATGATCCCGTCACACTTTTCAGTTTGCTAAGCTGCTGCAGTGGGCTCTGCCTTGTGCTGCTTACCCCAAGGCCAGCAGTTGGAAACCACCAGCCGCTCCGCAGGGAGAAAGATGAGGCTTTCCAGCTTCCTAAAGGGTTACAGTCTGGGAAACCGATACGGCCCATTCTACCCTGTCTTAAAGGGGTACGATGAGTTGTATTTGACCCAACGACAGTGGGGACCCTGAGATAGTCTTTGAAAGTCAGCCTGGAAGTGCGGCTCAGGCATGAAAACAATGCATTGGGGTGCTCTAAGGTGGGAGGGTGCCAGCCAGCATCGTTCCTCTGTTCTTCTGGAAGAAGGCCAAGTGAACTGAAAGGCAGAAAGGGCGGAGCTCTTAAAGGACCTTCTAGTCCAGCCGACCAGAGGACTCTGCTGCACTAGGCCACCTGTCACTTCCTGTAAGGTGGCTCTGCTCCAGGCAGAGCAGAAGTTCCCCCAGGTAGAGGCACCCTCTGCAGGGTGACACCATCTTCAGTTTTTGTTTTTGTTTTTCCCCAAGAGAAGCCAGGACGCCTCTCCCTGTGGGCAGCTTCAAAGATGTTCACCAAGGATTTCCTTGTGGCGCCCAAACAGAATGTGCCTGTGGGCTCAGTGCCCCACTTCTGACGTCAGTCGTGTGGATGGGGGGCTCCTGGGAGAGGGCCTTGGTCTCTGCTCTAGCTTGTCGAAGGCTTTCACGTGGTAGAGGGCTGCAAACCACCCCAAAGCATTTCGGACTTCACACACGGGGGCAGGGGTAGACGTTAGATTGACATTACTCACCCTGCTGACTTCCTTAGGAGCCGATTCATCTGGGGACAGGGAAGGAAAAGGAGAGAAAGACAATTAGAAACTGCAGCCACCCACTCTCAGTCGGCCAGAAGGCCCCCGCAGGGCTGCCGCCTCCTCCTCCATCTCGGAACGTGACCTTAGCACCAGTTAGAGGAGCAGGTAGAGCGGAAAGCAAGGCATTTCCAGAAAGAAGCACCTGTGCTTGTTAGATGGGACCCGGACCACTGCCACAGGGGGTAGACATTTCCAAGAGCATCAACAGCACCCAGGGCAAGCGATCGTCAGACACTCTCCTGAAGGCCTTGACATGTTGGCAAAACCACGTCGGCATCCACACACCAGCCAGCCAAGCCTGGCTGTGACCTGGCACCGGCACGCCCAGGCCCCCGGGGGCTGTCGGAGCCCGGAGTGCTTTAGGCCTTGTGGTTTCCCGTTCAGAAAACCCAATCATCAATGTGAGCACTCCCAAAGACACCACATGGGCTCTCGTTTTCGGGAGAAGTGAAAGAAGACAGAGGTGACCTCTGTGGAAACCTCACACGGACCTTCTCTGCCAGCATGACCCCAAGCTGGGAAGTGTGTTCAGATGCCTGTGCCGAAAGCGTGGTGGCTCAGACGTGGCCCTTTGTGGACGGCATGTGATGGGCCCTGTTTTCCTCTCGCTTGGGCTACTCTCGGTCTCGTGCAATCCATTCACATCGAGTCTGGTTGTCGATAGGTTTGCTTTTTATTGCGGCCACGTTGCGGTGCCTGTGCTTTCTTGTTAATTGTGTGTGTGTGTGTGTGTGTGTGTGTACCACACGCGCGTGTGTGGTAGTGGTGCTGGCTTCTTTGTTCCACATTGGGGCTGGTGGCCCTTAGGCCTGGAAATGAACTCACCTCCATAGCTCACTTTCTGGCTAACCAACAGACAGGCCTGCAGGGAGACCCAGGCACACGGTAGAATGAAGAACCAACCACCGGAGGCCCCAAAAGGCCGCATTGACCCAGGAACAAAGTTCAAAGGGTGAGGAAAGAAAGAGGAATGGAAACAGGAAACCGAGGGGTGGGGGGTGGGAACACGGGGTGATGCAGTGTGTGTGGGTGGCCCTCAGTGACGTGAGCCAACATGTGTAAGATTCGCTGAATGGAACGCGGATGTGCTCAGGAAACCTTGATCCCATTCTTAAAAATGCGTGTGCCCAGACTGTGGTCTACGGTGAACACGTGCAGTATTTTAAAGGGTGCAACCCTCATGAATGCCCCAAGTGCCCTTTAGCAGTGGAGGCTGGCAGATCTGGAATGGCCTGGACAGTCAGACTGGAGCTGCGTCTGGCGGCGCACACACACTGGCCGGGCGTCCTGCTCTCGGCCACTGGCCCGAGGACGCTGGGGTTTGGGTGCTGCTGATCAGCCCTGTTCATGGAGAAAGTGGACTGAGGTTTGCACCAGGTCTTGGGAAGACCCCACCACCACCACCGCCTTTGCAGGCTCTGTGGCTGGGCTGGCTGCGTGAACACAGGGTGTAAGAAGCCCCGGGGAAGCTCCTTCTGGGGCTCCCTGTTTGGAGGCGCTCCACCCTCGGACTAGGGTGTCTGTGCTAAAAGAGGAAGTGCACCGCCCTGTCCCTTTACAGAGAAGATGAAAGTCTAAGATGGTGTGTTGCCGCCCAGGGTCCTCTGAGATCGGAGAGCAGAACCCGGAAGGAGAAGCTGGAGCACTCTGTGACCCGGGCCTGAGTCTGCCCACCTGATAGCCATGGCCCTTTGCGGTTCCACGCTTCCCAAGGGTCTAGTATGCCTCCGTGGAGCACCTCTCCCTTCTCCTTAGAGGAGAGTCCCTTCCCATGGGACAGCCCTCCTTGTGTTCTGCCCTCTCGTATGAAGTGAGGGGCTCCACAGGGCCTACTCTGGCCGATTCTGACACCGCCCCGCCCCGGGGCTCGCTGAGACAAGCATGTGACTTCTAACCAGTCTGACTCAGCGTGTGCAGCCACAGCCTGGTGAAAGGCTACCGACCTGTGTGTCACTCGTGGCTGACAAGCTCTCCGTCTACCTCCGAAAGACCGCCTGTCCAGTGAGGTTTGTGCCTTTCTTTGCTTTGTTGAACGTGAAGAACTGGGCGATTATGGAAAGAAGTCCCGAGTAACCAGGAACAAGAGGGCCGTGTCAGTGGGCCCTCGCCCGCCCGCCTGTCCGCCAGGGACTCCCCTGGCTTCCTCATGGAAAACACGTGAGGAGCCTTTAAGCACGAAGGACTGGAGGCGGAGAGGACCGCATACTTGTGGCGGCCCTGGGCGGCAGAGGAAGGGGAGTGTGGAGCCATTCACAGGGCACAGCCTAAAACGAGTTCAAGCGGTCACTGTCTCCCTGAAGGACGAGGCTGCCTCCTCAGTAACCGGCAGCATCACAAGTCTTCCGACTCACGGCGCTGCTTCCGCGTCTGTGCGCACAATGAGACCGCTCCTGCGACTCGGCTACCCAAGGCTGGGGTTGGGGCTGGTTCAAAAGAGGGCGGCATGCACCACTGTTGCTCCATGCACAAACCACTCATCCTGCGCCAGCAGGACCCCCTACATTTCATTGTGCAGACCAGAGAAGTAGGTACGTGCTGGAATAAGGGCCACAAGGTCCCCTTGTGGCAAAGAGAAAACATTACCCGTTTAGAAACAGGAGCGCGCTGAGCGAGGCTGCAGAAGCCAAGTTCAAAGACAGGTGCTGTGAAAGGCTTCCAGGGTCAGCCCTCTAGAACTTGGTTACCTTGAACTGCCCCGCCCAGAACTTGTCCTGTAACTCAACGCTCTGCTTGTACAACCCCCTTTCAGAGTGGCATCCAGGCCCAAGAGGAGACGGCCCTGGCCTGAAGGTCCACCATCCATCAGATCCCTGGGCAAAAACTATTGCTTTATATACTGGCGATACACTTCTCTGTTTCAAATCTGAAACTTATTAACAATCTGATTTTTCTGATAGGAAAAAAATGAAATCATTAAATGTAACCTCTGTTGACATTTGCAGAACTGTTCATTGTCTTAGCATGGAACATACTACATTCGATGTCTTCCCAAATCCATAGTTGTAAGTGACTCTTTTCAAACAGCCAAGAAATGTAAGACTTTACTATAAATCTAAATGCATTGCAACTTCCTAAAACTCTTAGAATGGTTTCGAGTCTTTCTCCGTGTGTCTCAATCTCTCTCTCTCTCTCTCTCTCTCTCTCTCACACACACACACACACACACACACAGAGCTTTATGATGTTGTTTCAGTATTTAGCATACAGGGAAATGAGAACCCCAAAGCTTTCCCCCATAGTAACAGAAGTGAATTGAGAGTGTAAGGTCAGATTCCATATGGCCTAAGAATAATCTGAGTAATGACATTTTAAAAAATTACAAATCCCAGGATCGACTGCCCCCCTCCCAATTTCCCAAGGCTCTCTGGGGCAGCCCAGGCGCCATGAATCCAGGCTGTCTCTCATCACCACACGGCGCAGGCAAGCCTGTGTGGGAATGGCAGCTAGCAGATCAGAGCATACACAGCACGCCAAGACTAAGAACTCCGGGGAGGGTTTACACTTTGCTGAACCAATCATCTCACTCTGAACTCCAGTGAAGGTCCAACTGAGGAATCTGGAAAACATTGGAAAACTGGAAAAAAAACAAGCCCCAAGTTGTCTAGGACTCTTTTACCTCCAATCGGAAAGCGTGTTCTTGGTACTGCTGAGTCCACGGGTGCCCTGATGACTGCTGGCCCTCGTGGGAGCCCTGGCGGCGTAGTGGTTACGTGCTGGGCTGCAGATCGCAGGGTCAGCAGTTGGAATCCAGCAGCTGCTCCGCAGGAGAAAGAAGGGGCTTTCTACTCCATCAAGAGTTCTCGTCTTGGAAACCCACAGGGCAGGTCTAGCCTGTCCTCTAGGGTGGCAACTTTACTGGAAGGGAGTTTTGAGTCTCATGAAGACTCTATGAGTTTGACCTCTGCTTGCCCCCACTGATCTGGCAAAGTGTCCGGTGGGCCCCGAAGGGGAGCCAGGAGTATCAGCTCTGCTTTCGCTTCCTGTGGAGAGGACCTGGCTGCACTCTCAGCCCCCACAGCAAGGTGGTGCTAGTGAGCAGTGCTCCCTCTGCCCCAGACAAGCTGGAGGAAGACAAAGGGGACATAGAGGAGGTCAGGGCCAGGGTGGGGGGGATTGCATCACAGGGACAATGACGGTCCTGCTACGTGGGAAGGAGCATGCTCCTGCACAGACGCATAGGTCAGAGGGACGAGCCACTCCCCACAAGAGCCACATGCACTATGGGGCATGTGTCTGACTGACTATTGATACCACCCTGCAGCATAAGCAGATACACTTGGCCAGCAGGAGGAACAGATACGTCTGTCTTGGGAGAAGTACAGCCAATTCTCTCTAGAGGCGAGGATGGAGAGACTTTGCATCGCTGTACTTTGGACATGTGGTCAGGAGAGGCCCGTGCCTGGAGAGGACATCCTGCTTGGTAGAGCGGAGGGGCAGCGACAAAGAAGACCCCCATGAGATGGTTGGACACCGTGGCTGCAACAAGGGGTTCAAGCATAAGGACAATTACAAGGATGGTGCGGACCAGGCTGTGTGTCTTTGCGGTGGGTTTAGGATCGCTATGGACTGGGACCAACTTGATGGCACCCAACACCACCAACAGGCCGACAGGGTAAACAAACACAGGACCTGAGGGGGGATCAATTGTCTACGGATCTCAGCTTATCAGCTCTTTCTTCTTACCACCTATGGTAGTTACATAATCTGGTGTCAATTTGGGACTATTACGTGTGAATGGGGTGGAGTTTAGCCTGTCAATCAAGTTGCAGCTTGATGACCTCATTTGGAGGTGCTATGGAGATAAATAGCTCACTGGAGGCCAGAACCACACACTCTGCTTCTCTCGCTACGAGACATTCCTGTTGACAAGCCACATGGAGCTGCACTGATGGCGGCCTTGGAGCTGGAGGAGCCATGTGGAGACCTACACCAGTGCTAAAATGCTTCCACCACCACTGGATCCACA